TATCGGTAGTAACTACGATAATAACGACATTAATAAATAAACTCCATCGACGGACGAATGGAGAAAAAAAAAACACTGAGATTTCACTTTGACTGTTTCCAGCAAATATAAATTACTGTACACGGTGATGACTAAGAGAAAAAATTCAGTCGCGCATGCGTACGCGTAGACGACGAAAAATCCGACTGGTTAACAGGCTCCGGGGTGTAGGTCAAATGTCGGTTCCCTTTCTATAATAATAATAATAATAATAATAATAATAATAATAATATGATATATTAAACGCGGTATGACCCACATACACGGTATACCGGCTCGCGGTGTAAAACAATATCTCCAAAACCGACGACGTTTCACCATTTTTATGTGCTCAGTTAAAAAGTAGTCACGTCCGTCGACCACTGTTATCTAACCCGGCACACGCTGCGTCGTTCGCCGTCGTCGTATGTGGTAAACGTCATTTTTTTTTATTTATTTTTTTTTTTTGTATTCTTTCGAGCGCGAGCACACACGGTTCATTACCGAGTGCAGACAATACAAAACGCCCGCAGTGCATTGTATTCATCGTCGTCGTCGTCGTCCGGGAGAGAAAAGAAAAAAAAATTGATACATCTACCGACATTACTACCGCGATGCTCCGTTACGTGTTAGGTAATGCAAGTATAATGCACCAAGATGCATCGTTACGACGGAAAACGCGTACGACTAATGGTCGCGATCCCTTTCCACGACGGGCGGTCGCGTTTCCCGAAATCATCGGCCCGCGAAAAAAATAATCACAATAATAATACGTCGTCCGACGACCTTGGGCCGATTATTATCGTCGTCGTTTCGTTTCGGCCCATTCACCGGGCGCGAGCGTTCTCTTCGATTCGTGAAATCCTCGTCGATTTCCCTTCATAATGATAAATAATTACCAACCATCACTATAATATACGGTACAACAACAATAATATTATTGTCGTGTCACGATCACAAACCGTTCGCGATCGAAAGTCCTTGACTCGCGCAACCCTTTGAACGAACGGACGCCCACACAGTTATGTGTCCATCGCTCGCACGCACACGAGCGAGAGTACGTAAGAGGTTGGTGGGGGGGAGGAGACGTCGAAAAGAATTGAAAAAGAATTTCATGAATTATTATAATATATACAACGACGGGTCGTGTGTGAGCGGCATAATATATTATAACGTACGACGTCATAAACTGTAAAATTTCAACCAATTAATGTGTCATGCGCGCATACGGGTGGCGTATACGAAATAAATACAATATAAAAAACATACCACATCAACCCGCATTTGAGTTGTGCGCGCTTGAGCGATGTTCTTTCTCGTAGACGAATGTGCGTTTAATAATAAATAAATCGACTTTTTTATCATCATTAACTTTCAAAAACACACTTCATTTGATTTGTACACACTCCAATGCAGTTTTTATATAGATACAATTATTTTCATTTTTTTCCAACGTAAACCGATAGATTTAATTTTAACTGGAAATCATTTAATGTCGATGATAATATAGTTATCGTGCACTATAATTGCAGCTAGTCGTCACCTTGTTGTAGTATATCATTATTAGCCGGTTAACCACAAACAAAAAAAAAAAAAAAAGAAAAGAAAACGTTATCTAGTATTATAATAGTGTATCAATATAAAGCTGTAGTATGGCCGGGCATAAAACTTATCGACGTCTTTCAAAAGAAATATTACCAAATGGTGTGTATTCATAATATGTACATGGTCTACACAGAATATTATATCATGACATAATATTGTACGCCCGCAATTATTTTAATGTAGACACCGCGAAAAAGTTTACTTCTCGCTAAAGCTTGGCCTACATTTTATTATCAGCCGAGTGTACCCTCCGCCGTAGTTTGCAAGGTCAAGGAATTATTATCGCGGATAAAAAAAAAAATATATAAAAAACGAGCGTAACCATTATAATATACAGATTAACATAATAATAATAATAATAATAATAATAATAATAGTACGCCTGTAATAACGAACCGATCATCTCGTCGATGACGACGACAAGTACCTACGTTGCATATATAGGGATCAAGTATGCGGTATATTAAATAATTAAAAACTGATAAAAAGTTCAATAAAGTGATCCGTTATAACGCATATTTTTGTTATTGTCACAGCGGACGGTCTGCATGAAACGTTCTTTTACGATGTATGGACAAAGAGAAAGGCCTCTTCTCTTTCTCCCTCGTACATAGCATTATTATTTTATTATATTAATGTACCACCGTTCCGCGGCCGCCCAAGGTTAAGCTACCCAAGGGCGATATTGTTCTCCGACGAGCGAGCTGGTAAGCAGCGCAACGGACGCGAAGAAGAAAACTACAGAGTATAGTTGTTACCTATTGTAGGTACCGTTAGGTATTTTTTACGTTCGAAATATGTTTTACTATTATTATTATCATTTTATCATTATCTGATGATGAGACGCAAGGAATAAAAGAAAACGTACCAGCATGCGATGAAGTTGCTGTATAATAAAGTAGTATATATTCCCCTTTCTTGATTTTTTTTTTTTTATAACTCATTATTATTATTTTTATACTTTTACCCGTATCGCTGAGATTGTTTTAGTCGGTTTTTATTTTATATCTCGAACACATGCAGACGGTTTCTAATATTATGTATATTATTTTTGTTTTTGAGAAAAAATGAAGGACCACAACCAAAAAAAAAACATTGTACCGTTGGCTCGGCAAGCGAATGAAATATATATATATTATTGAAGGGTGGTGGGAGACTGTAGCGGCGGAGAGAGGAAAAGAAAGAGATATACGGACACGCGAGGCTCAATGACCTACATATTTGTTTTCGTATCAGTCCGCGCGAGTGTGATGTATACATGTATAATATATTACTGTATAGTGTGTAAACACACAAGGTCTATCCCAAAATTAATAATCCCCACCTTCGCGTCAAAAAACGATGGCGACGACCACGACAACGACGTATAATAACTCTCGATACTACTTTATTTCTTTCGCCATTTGTAACGAAGTAATGTTTTCTTTTGTAAGAATAAAAAGAAAAAAACATTTTGGCACCCAGAGGTCCGCAGAGGTCAACCGTCGAACTTTGAATAAATTTCCGTAACCCAATTACGTGATTGATACCCCGCAGACTGTACACATCGTATGTTATAATAGTATATGTGTGTGGCCTATATACAGCGTGTACAATAGTACAACAATATTATGTATGCGTGTATATATATAGTACACATAATATAATATTATATATGTATAAATAAATGTGAAAATGGAATCTTTGTGACGCATGTTCTCTAAAACTACTCATATCCGATTTATCTTGATATTTTTTATTTAAATAAAAGAGTACGTCGCGGAGCAATTTTTTTAAATTCTATTAATAAATGAAAAATTGAGTTAAAAATTTTTTAAATAATCGGCAAATATTCACATACAATTTTTTTTTCATCCTTGTTACTATAATAATTATTAGTTATTATAAGATATAAGTATTTTAACAAATAGTTGATGATGTAATAAAAACAGTATAAAACTTTTTCGTTATTTTTAGTTTACACAGTTGAAACCTTATGAATTGTTAGTTTTTAATTGAAATGAAAGAGAAATCAAATTTGGGTTATTCAACAACAAAAAAAGATAAGAAAAATAATTTTCGAAAAATTCTGCTTGTAAATGGTCCAACGAAAAGCAACACTGGCGTGACAGTCATATATCAAGTTGATGTGTCGAAAAGATCATCTATACATCAAATCAGAAAACTTAAAATATTATTTATCCACACGCGTTACACTAAATGATAGCATTAAGCAACCAAATTTAACACGGATGCGTTTTGTATGGGCAATATAGTGCACGAGGATAGCTATAATATATATATAAACATACATACACACAACATAATCGTTTAAATAATTTTTTTTTATTATTACTATTTAGTGATAATTATTATTTCTTGCTGCATTTACACACATAAACGTTCGGTTATTACGCAATCGACGACGTGAATATTCCTAGTTCCACCAAGGTCGTTTAATTGTACGTGTATATAACATACAAAGTGTAGTCGGAGAGATACAATAAACGTATATCTATAGTTGCGTGTTTAACTCGCGTAGCCAATTCAATTCAACTAGTAACATATTCATTTTTTATTTTTTTTTTTTTTTATTCATATCCGAGTAGCGTACAAAAAAAAGATTTTAAAAGTAATAATTTTCGTGAAAAATATTGATACCAGCAAAAAAAAGAAGAAAATCGTATGGAAACGCGCGCGATGTGCAGGTATAATATTCCTACACTGGGCAATGAATAATCTCAAACCTCAAGGCTTTCAGTTTTTTCATTTCCAAACAGGTATAGGTGAAACACCACGCGGTCATTCGGTTTGTTTTTATATTTGTGCGTTATTTGCCGACCATACGATATATCATAATTATAAAAACGTACCTGTTTAATGGTATTAATAACAGACCAGCGACCGTGGCATTTCAAGTGTTTGATTTCCTAACTAGGCCAAGTAAATACGGACGCATATAATATTAATTGTATTATTATTTATTACACATATCAAACTTAAGGACCACACGTTAAAAAACTATGACATTAAATAATTTTATCGCGTTGTTGACACGTTCTACTGAAGTACGAAAATCCGCTTCAACAAATGAGCCAACAGATTTGTTATTTTATTTTTTTTTTTACAAAATCTTGTACTCGCATGCAATAAATCTGAAAAAGTATATATGGAAGCATCGCACCGAAAACAGACTGCAAGGAAATGCAATCGATTTAAATTTGGCACCATAAATCGGTCACTAGCAGCGTAACGATGTATGGAGGAGCGGGGGAGTTTGAATGGGCACTAAGAAACGTTCTACTTAACATAATATTATAATATAGGTGTTCACTACCTTGAAACGATTTAAAAAATAATAATATATAATATATATAAAAAAGCTTATAAACACTCACCGATTTTTCCACTGATCGGACTGTACGGGTCGTAGCTGTTGGTCGACATCGGGGACGTGTTGTAACCGCCACCTCCACCGCCGACACCTCCACCGACGACACCGCCACCGACGACACCGCCACCGACGACACCGCCACCACCGCTGCCGCCGTTGGATATGACGGCGTAGGATATGTGCGACGTGCCGGGCGACGAGGCCGGCGGCGAGTTGACGGCCAGCCAATCGTCGTGCCTGAGCCGCTTGACGCCGGCGATGTCGCTGAACAGGGTGGAACAACCGTTGCGGGACGTGGCGCTGTTCGCGCCCGGCAAGGTCCGCCGGGCGGGCTGCGCACGATGACTGCGTCGGAGGCCGTCGGCAGGCCGTGATAACCGCCGCCGCCGCCGGTGGCCACTTGCACCAACGCGGGACTACGGGGTTTGATGATGACCTCGGTGCCACCGCGGCCGCGGTTGAACGACATGAGGCCGCCGACGCCGCCGCCACCGACACCAGCGGTGGCAGCAGCGACACCACCGCCGCCGCCGTCACATTTCTGGTCCATCATTGCGGCCGCGTGCGGGTCGCACGTTATCACGCATGGACTGTGCGGCCGGGCACGTGTTGCTCGCCGCCGCAATTCGGCAGCTACGCACACCACCCCGCGATGGTGGCCGACTCGTGACCGTCGTCCGTTCGAACGTCGTCGCGTTGGTGCATGTCCCGCAGCAGCCTGTACGCAAGCCTGTCCGTCGTCGTTGTAGTTGCCGTCGATACGCGCACCGCACAGCACCGACCGACCCGACTTTCGTACTGTTTGATTATTTACAAAAATCGATACGACACTTCGCAATACACCTCGCACACTTCGTCAAAACACCGACACCACGAGAACGCACGCGATACTCGGTCGCTTCGCCCCCGACACGGTCGCCTGTCACCGTTAACACCGCTGGTGCTGCTGTTGCTGTTGCTGTGACCGTTTCCAGACCTGCGAACAAAAACGCGAACACGGTTAGGAAAACGTGATTTGAATTTTATAATTATTTCACTTTACACACTGTTTTTACTGTGTACTGTACCAAAAAAAAAAAAAAATAATAATAATAATAATAATAATAGGTAGTAAACGCATAACGGGTACGATGGGATTTTGTGAAACACCAAGTCCGCGAGTTAGTGTTACGTATAATACTTCTATGAGGTGGAATGACACGGAGTGGTTTCAATGCAAAATAATATGAACACACTTTTAACACTAAACAGCTTTAGTTCACAATTACTGAGCCAGTAAGAGTAATTAAATACTATAAGTTCATGATCAAACCGTGCAGTTTATAATAATATGTATAAATAGTATAGGAATGAGGTGTATATAATATATATTAATTAAATATACGTCCATCATTCATATTTTAATTAATTCGCGATAAACATAAAGCACTATAGAAGAGTTAAAAGGCACTCTTTAATACACTAATTAAAACACGCACTTCTTTACTTCTTTTCATATTTTCTATTCGGCACTATAATATAGAAATCTGTGAATATATTATAGTATATAATGTGATAAAAATATGCACCAGTGCAGACTTCAGATTTAATGAAATAATTATGCTTACTTAAAATATGCTTATTGCCCAGTTTAAATTCTGTATATTTTAATATATTAGTATATTATAATAAGTATTAAATATTTTGTAATTGTTTATAAAATAACTAAAGTACAAAATTGTAAGTAGGTTATATCTAGTATATTAACATAGTAATTTATAAGGTACTATTCAATACAAAACTATATTTTACACTTAACTCTCTAAATTATTGATTCGATTTTAAGTATGTAGGTGTGTAACTGTTTATGTTTAAATAAAATAAAGATTACTAAGTACATTTTATCATTTACTATTTTTTTTGCGTACTATTGAAAAATACGAATACCAATCCCGATATAAAATGGTTAAGGCTGTTTGTTGTCATAAAATACTTGGTCGTATACTTCCCAGACACAAGTCCACCCCTGATCTTATCTATATAGTATCCATATTATGACGAGCAAAACTTTAAATTACCTACATATTAAAAAAGATAAATATTTTAATCACTAAGTAGTAATTACATAAACCGCACACAGATAATTAATAATAAAACTTAACATGAGGCTTGAAAAAAAAAATACAATTAAAGAGCTTAAAACGCGGTCGGGGAAAGGGAGAAAAATGATTAAAAACACTAAAATGTCAGGTGAGGAAACTTCCCGCCTTGCTCCCCTAATAACGCACCCATAGTTCTAGGTATTGTTTTAACTCGTACAACTGTTTTTAATGGTCATTGTAAACTGCAGATATTACAGAGGTCGTAGTTAATTTATAATTCGAAACGAATAGAAACCAATATTGAATAGTAAACAATACCACATTATACACAAATTATACGATCGTGATTTGTAACAAGTCCATATGGTATAAGTACGTTAAAATAAAAGTATAATGCAGTCGAAACATCAACGGGTGCGCGTCATCACTGTGGAATTTCATAAATATTACAACTATTGAAGTATCGTAGTCGGCGCAACATTGATGGTGGTGTTTGCAGAACTATCATAATTTATTGTGACAGATTTATTTTCCAGGGAAATCGACATTGATCAAATAGAGATATAAAGCTCATAGTTAGCGGGCCTTATTGGGAAGTAGGAGTTTTTAGATTTTGTAGTCCGCACACTACCGTCGAGATTCATTTTAATTTGATTTCATATGTACATTCATAATTATTTATGCCTTATGGTCATTTTTTTTTTTTGTCTACAAAAAAATCATAATAACAGTACCGTTCCTGGAAAGCCAACAAAAAATATCGCCGTCGTATTCAATGGACAAAAAACGAACTAATTGTTTAGTATCTGAGTTTTTAATTTAAAAAAAACGTGTGTATTAGAGTCAATTAAGATTTTTACCAACGACCGTAAACAACAAATCTCAAATACACGTACAGTTTCGTTCATATTAAATTATCTCTATAAATAGCACACGCACACACAAAACGCATCATAATATTATATTAAACGTATGACTAAAATAAAACCATAGTTCATTGAAACAGCTAATTTTGATCGACGCGTTGTTGACCATTTTACGGAAATAAAGATAGTACTATTGTATTTGATCAACAAATTATAAAGCGCGTTATTTTTCTTTAAATAAATTAAAATAGAACTACCTAGCGTAGTAACGTTTCATTTTATCGTTTTTTAATCGACGGAACGATGATTACAATTTGCAATCAAGTAGAAATTTGATAAAAATTTAATTCTGGCTATCCGCAGACGGACGGGTAGGTAAACCGCTCGAGTTCGCTCATATCTATCGGACGGGAATTTATTTTACAAGCGCCGTACGGAACATACGACAATACCGAATGCCGGTATGGATAACAACTTCGACTAAATCGATTTTGCGAGAACGTTTCCGAACGAAATGGCAATAATGGGATACGATCATCGGATGCGATCACGTTTGGGATGCATGCCCGGGCCACATGCAGCAGAAGACGACTCGGCGGCCACGCACTACAAACGGAACCGAAGACTCGCGAGCAGTGGGGAGGGGTGTTGATGATTTTGTCCGTGACGTGTAAACAACGACGACGCAGTAACGGCGGTTTACGAATGTTTACGAAAACGCGTCGACGATGACGACGACGACACGAATTCCACGTCCTGCCGTGCAGATGTGTGTCACCGCCACCACTGCACTACTGTGCCAGGGCGGAAGTTTCGTCACGGCTACGGTGGAACCCAACACCCGCGAGAGATAATAATGTGACGACCTGCCGTACGTCGCACGGAGCGCCGCGAAGGACGTACGCCGCAGGAGTCACGGCGCTCAGACCGCGGCGGGGCGAGGGTGGCTGTGACGATTTCCCGACGGCCGAGTTCACTTCATGTCGGCTTTTCACACACGAATATAATAATTTATCCGTCAACAATACCGACGGAATTATACGCTAAATACGCAGCGTTGGCGTGAGAGAGCGGCGGCAGCAGCGACGACGACGACGATTGTAACGAACAGAAATAATGACCCAAATCCGCGGACCCACGCACCGACCGAGAACACACGGAGACGCCGGGGGCTGACCAGAGATCTCGGTATTATTATATTAAATCATGAGCCGTGAAAATGCGTTACCACTTTCCCGGTTATCGAGCGATCGGAAAACACACGAGCACCTAAGACCACCACCACCACCATGACATCACAACCACGGTCGTGGACGCCGACAGTGGGGAAAACTACGAGTAAAAGACCGTGGTTGACGACAGGCGTCACGTCGCGGCCGTGCGCTATTATTTCGGGAGTAGAAAAATCGTGGACCACATCGAGTGGATAATAATATTATTATTATTATTATTATTTATTACTAATAGAACGACAGTATTATTAATAGCGTGTTGAATGTATTTATGATGTATAAGTGTAACTAACCACGTCCGTTCGAGGAAAGCGAATCGAAACGCCACACCACAACACAACACACGACACGACACACGCACAAGCACACACGGTTTTTGCGGGCGCGAGAAAAATCAAGACGGTTAAAAAATATTAAATACACAACAATAACAATATAAACGTGCACGAGCGGTTTTCACTAGCGTCACTTCAAATCGAATAGATCGTAGTCCAAGTCGTCGACGGAGGTCGCGCGGGTAGACACACGAATGGTGCGTAACGGACGGCGCGGTGCACACTACTCGCTGTGCTCCGGTGACGCCGCGACGGGGTAAGGCGAACCGCACGCCGCCCGGCCGCTGCGCGCGATCGGGGCCCGCCGTCGGCGGTCGGTCGTCGTCGTCGTCCTCGGTGCCGGCGTGGGATGGTGGGGGGAACCGTGGTGCCGGTCGGTCGACCGCGGGTCGGGGACGCGAGTGTTGGCGATGGTGGTGGCGGCGGCGGCGGTGACGGTGGGACGGAGGGGCGCGCCGGGCGTTTCCCGTGCGCGCTCGAATGGGTGAACGGTCGTCGGACGGCGACGGTCGCGGGACGGTTAAGCGGCGGCGGCAGCTACGGCGTGGAGTTCGGTGAAGGGGGAAGGGGGAATCAGTGGCGGCCGCCGTTGCCGCCGCCGCCCGGTTGTTCGTTCGCGTTCGGACGGACGTGGAAACGTGCCCGAGCGATTCCCAAACGTGAACCGTACTTGCGCGTGCGGCAGTGCGCGAAAGGAAAAAGACGGTAAGCAGCGGCCGGTCGGAAAAACCGGTACAAGGAGATCCTCCGACTCATCGGCGGCGGCGATAAGAGATCCTGACCACTCACTCTCGCCGACTGCCGGTCACGGCCGCCGCCCGTCGCGGCGACGAGACGGCGACGTGAACCATGACCCCCAATACGACGCATCGAACGAAACTGCACCAGTTTCTATGAACAACGCGCGTTACAAGCCATAAATGAACGACGATCGCGCCAAATACGTACAACAACACTCGGTCAATAAACAACAATAATAATAATAATCTACCGCACGCAAGCCTGCGGTAAAGTTGTGAAACGTTGGTACTACAAATAG